AAAAACAAAAAACATCAAACAATATTTAATTAATTCAACAGAAAATAGATGTGTATCGACTTGTGTTCTTCAATCATCGACTTCCATCACATATTCACATTCGTAGCAAAAATATAATTTTGATTTTGTTTTAACACGTGGTGGACTATCTTCAGGAGCTTGTTCTTCAATAACACTTTTACAATTTGGACAATATAATGTAGTTTCAGCATTAGATTGATCTTCATCAACACTGAAATTAAAAAAATTATTATTTTATTAGAAATAATATATAATTTTACCCTTTTATATTATTATCTCTATCACCATCATGTTCAAGTTGATCATCAGTAGATTCCTGAATTTTTTTAACACTTGGTGATTCATCTTGAATATTATCAAGTAATTGAACTTTAACATCACCAAGTGATACATCTTGTTGACCATCAATATTCTTCATATACTGGAGGAATGCATCAAGTAATCTTACTTGCATTATATTTATATTTAAATAATTTTTGGAATTTGTTGTAACATGATCTTTGCTTTTATTATAGATGGAATAACGATATACAACATCAGCATATAATTCTTTCAATTTTTCTTCCTAAAACAAAACTTATATTTTTTTTCCTAAGTAAAAATGTGTCTTACATCGAATTTTGTATCATATAACATTTGAAAAAATTTGTCCTTGAAAGAAATTTCAGTCATATTGACTATCTAAATAAAGAACACATAAATAGTCGCAGGAGAAATTAAAATTTAGGAAAAATTAAAATTTTAATTTCTCCCAGGACAATTTAAAATTTTCCTCAATTTTTTTTTGCCTGCGACAGCAACATGAAAAAAAAAGGTAATGACGACAACACAAATTTCTATCATAAAATAAAATTGGTGACTTAGGGACATTCATCAAAAGCATGCTTCCCTTCTCTCTCTTTACAGACATATAAATTCGTTCTCCTCTCTCCTTCTCTCTCTCTCTTTACAGGCATGCACATTCGTTCTCCTTTTCTCTCTCACTGATGCACACACAGATAGACAAAGATGCAGTCTTTATCTTTTCTTTCAATTACAGCAACAGATTCGTCCTCTTTCTTCTTTCCCTAGCGCACTGTGTCTTTCTATTTTATTATCGGACTATTAAAGAATATATCAACCATTCACTATGTTCTATCATACATATATCATAGGAGAAACTAAAATTCAGGAAAATTTTAATTTCTCTTGCAAAATTGCTAATGACTAAGAGGACATTTATGTTCTGAATTTATCTTCTATCATTTCTTCCACTAAAGTAATATTTGTCGTGCAACAAAAATGAATAAAACTAATAAATAATCTTTTTTTTTCTATGTTATATCGGTCAAAGATCTGTAAAAAAAAAATAAAGAGCAAGACGAACATTACTAGAGTCAGTTCATAACGAACCATAGAAACTAGTTAGTTTGTCTCCCAAAATCACTAGAAGAATGCGTTTTTCGCTGTGCTTTTGAAAAAAATCCAGAAAATCAATAAGATAGGGTTTGATGCATTGTTATATTCCTCCTTCTAATAGTGAAGATCACAGGTTTCTACAGCAACGACTGAGGTTTACTGTCCGGCGTTTACATATGAGTATCGTTCAATTAGTTTATATTAAATACAGTTTTACTACCTAAAGGTGTATCATCTTCATCGTCCCATTTCAATGCTTGTAAAGCTTCGATAGCGGGATGAAGTTCAGGACCATCTTCTGGCATTTCTTTAAGAAAGAATGGATGTCGTTCTAGATTCTAATAAAATGCGGAAACCTCGGATTTAAATCCGAGAGTTATGTGTACTTCAAAAAATGAGTGGGATAGGTGAGTCATCATAGAATGTGTGGACATCAAAGTTATCCTGGCAAACTTTTTTTATAATACGCTTGATTTCTATTGGCTACTGATCAATCAATAGGATTTGGGGACCAATACAGAGAAGATTTGAACTCTTCGCCTTGATTTACCCTAACGAAAGTCGGTTTTCCTATAACTTCATTTCTATTGGTTACTGCTCAACCAATGGGATTTCGAGGCGAGTGGAGTACAGATTCGAGTTCTCCACTCTAGAAAACCTCGAGCTATCATCTCTTTGATCGAAAGACAGAGCTCTAATTGTGGATCAATTAGAGTGTAGGCACAAACAGAGCCAATTTCTGTTTAATTACGCTTGCAATAGGTGAGTTAGTCTTCTTATTTCTTTACGTTTTATATCCGATTTTGTAGTTCGTGAAATTCTCTATTGAATGGTGTATAATAGTTGGGGTTTTATTTGACTATAATAGGAAAATTTTTTTACGAAAGCGGGGATAGGTCGATTCTTGCATAGGAAGGCATAGGGAAAAATGACTATTTTTCCAATAACTCATCAATGGCTCGGCCAATCCTTCTCATCTTCTTCTCTCGACCGAGATATTGTTGAGACTAAAGTTTGTAGAAAATTTCGTCGCAATCGGACTCTCCTTTCAAAAGTTATCGTGTAAACGATCGGACGGACATACTGACCGATTCTAGAGTGCACTCAGTTTTTAACGCTGATTCGGAATATGATATTAGTTTTGAACCAAATCGTAGTTTTTTAACTAAAAGTTGTCTAAACAAGGTCTCAAAATGGACAAAAACTGTATTCCGAGACCAATGTGCCTAGATATGTCTCAAGTGACTAGTGGTTTGGGAGATTTCTAAATCATGGTTTTGTAGCTAATAAAAGGGGTTATCAGATGTAAAAAATTTGAACTCGATTGCTAATAATATTGGTGAGTTATTATGAAAATACTGATGTCTCTGTCTACCATATATCTACCATCGATCCATGAGGTTACCTATGACCGTAATCCCGCTATATACAAGTACAAATTCGTCCTTAACACATTCGACCCGACGTCGCCCACCGGTGGGCGACGCTATAATTTAACGAAAAATCGTATAGAAAAGCACTTTCTTTTGCTTTTTTTTAAGCAGGAGATTAGACGTAAGCTGCCATATCTTCTGTCTTCAGTACTTTGTTTGAATTCTTTATTCGATAGC